AGAGCTGGGGAATCATCAAAGACCAAAGCAAACAAAAATCCTTGCCTTTTTGGGAAGCAATAAAACAAGCAAAATAAATCTGAAGATCATCCTTTAGGGGAAGGGCTTCAAACTGCTTCATGAGTTGATTATATTCATCTGTCTGTATTATAACTAATTATTGTCAGATATCAAAGTAATTGTAAATAGTCCCACAGAGTCCTAACAATTATTAGTCCTCAGTAGTAACACTGACTTTTTGTCCAAAATTTTAATGGACAAAAAGTCAATGTTACTACTAATTCCACTGACAAAAAGTCAATGTTACTACTGAGTCATAAAATCTTAGATAATCGGCCAGGCGCGGTGGCTCACACCTGTAATCCCAGCACTTTGGGAGGCTCAGGTGGGCAGATCATGAGGTCAAGAGATCAAGACCATCCTGGACAACATCGTGAAACCCCGTCTCTACTAAAAATACAAACATCAGCCAGGTGTGGTGGCGCGTGCCTGTAGTCCCAGCTACTCGGTAGGGGAGGTGGAGGTTGCAGTGAGCCGAGATTGTGCCACTGTCCTCCACCCTGGTGACAGAGCAAGACTCTGTCTCAAAAAAAAATCTTGGATAATCAGAATGACTTTCAACATCTTGGATAATTAAACCCTTTAATTCCACACATGAGGAACTTGGGACTCAGTGGTATCTGAAACCATAAAAAGAGTAAACAAATTCCCTATGTAAAATTTAACTTTTCTACAGCAATTACTTAATTCATCCCCAGGTTATCTGAACACATGCTAAAAGAAGAATGTAAACCTTGAAGAGTCAGTTTTCCTAAATTAATGTTTCAGCTTTCACAGTCCTAAACAATTCAAAGACTGTTGTTACTAACCAGCATTACAGCTTACAGTATTTCTAAAGTCCTACGTACTTTGTTGTTTTTCCAGGTGTATCTGAACACTAATGGTTCCCTTTCTGGAACCATGATGCTACTCAGAACCAGTAATAAAGTAAGCTACCTATATTAAATTCAAAATACGTTTTGTAGACTTGAAATGCATTACCACCTGGAAAAGAAAAAACATTTAGTATTTAGTTTGCACTGAAACTATCCAAGAGCTTCCCCTTCTCCACAGCAGTTGCTAGGGCCAAGATACCACTGACATAAGTTAGAAAAGTCTAAAAACTTAGTTTGGTAAGTATGTATGATATATATCACATAAATGAACCATAATAAAGCATAATAAAACCACCAAAACTACATTTTATTTTTCATACTGCAGGTTTTAAAAATACACTGTGGAAAAATTAATTTAGAATTATACCAAGAGGCAAAAGGCTATTTACATAATACAATCAGCACTATAAAATCATCTCTGTCCAAAGGAAAGGCTTCATCTTCACAAGTGGTCATTTTGATAACCAAAAGTGTGACTGGAATATTGGAAAATAAATGAACTTCAAGCATGACAAAAAATGAATACTCTCACTGGGGGCTCCTTCAAAAAGGGCATCTGCTGAGGTTAGTTTCATAAACTCAAGAGAAAATATATTTTATTTCAAGAAAGGAGGTGTAACTATTACAGTTCAGACTACACTAACCATATAAAGAACTACCTAGATTAACCCAAGTTTTCCACTCCCTCCACAAAGTATCATAACTAAAGCCCACAGCACGACTGGACTTCCAAAAACAGCAGGCTACACTCCTGGCAATTTTACCTACCTGTTTTTTATGCTTACAGAGGCTGTTGCGTTTGCTCCCCACTATATTTTTTTTTTTTTATGTAAAGTGAGAATATGAGTACAAAGAAAACAGCTCTTTAAAACTTCACTGAGGTTTTGGATATATTTAAAGGTGAGTCACCGAAAACTTAAAGTGGGCAAATCACTACAAAAGATTAGGGGCTGGGCATGGTGGCTCACACCTATAATCCCAGCACTTTGGAAGTCCGAGGCGGGTGGGTCACAAGGTCAGGAGATCGAGACCACCCTGGCTAACACAGTGAAACCCCATTCTACTAAAAATACAAAAAATTGACCAGGCGTGGTGGCACGTGCCTGTGGTCCCAGCTACTTGGGAGGTTGCAGCAGCAGAACTGCTTGAACCCGGGAGGTGGAGTTTGCAGTGAGCCGAGATCACGTCACTGCACTCCAGCCTGGGCAACAGAGCAAGACTCCGTCTCCAAAAGAAGAGATTAGGGACAAATAATTACATATAATATACAATTAATGAGTACATAAATATTAATATATGTACAACAAATAATTTAAAATGTCAAGTCCCAAAGTCAAGAAAAAACTAAAGAACTGGTTCAGATTAAAGCAGATAAAAGAAACATAACAACTAAATGTAACATACGATGCTGGAATACCAAAAAATGAAGTTTAAAAAAAAAAAAGTTACACCAGGCATGGTGGCTCACGCCTGCAATCCCAGCACTTTGGGAGGCCAAGGCGGGTGGATCACGAGATCAGGAGTTCAAGACCAGCCTGACCAAGATGGTGAAACCCTGCCTCTACCAAAAATACAAAAAAATTAGCCAGGCGTGGTGGCAGCCACCTGTAATCCCAGCCACTTGGGAGGCTGAGGCAGAGAACTGCCTGAACCTGGGAGGTGGAGGTTGCAATGAGCCTTGTCTCCAAAAAAGTTACCAGCAGCCAGGCGCAGTGGCTCACGCCTGTAACCCCAGCACTTTGGGAGGCCGAGGCGGGTGGATCACCTGATGTTGGGAGTTTGAGACCAGCCTGACCAACATATAGAAACCCCATCTCTACTAAAAATACAAACTTAGTGGGTTTGATGGTGCATGCCTATAATCCCAGCTACTCAGGAGGCAGAGGTTACAGTGAGCCGAGATCGTGCCATTGCACTCCAGCCTGGGCAACAACAGCGAAACTCCATCTCAAAAAAAAAAAGTTACTAACAAGCTGTTTTAGACATATGTGACATCTTGTCAAAATTAAGGGTACGTAAGACACATGCTACCAATTCATAAAAACATATTTTAAGCTGGGCATGGTGGCTCACGCTTATAATCCCAGCAGTTTGGGAGGCCAAGGTGGGAGGACTGCTTAAGCCCAAGATTTCGAGACCAGCGTAGGCTACATGGCAAGACCTCGTCTCTACAAAAAAAAAATTTTGCTGGGCATGGTGATACATGCTTGTGGTCCCAGTTAGGAGGCTAAGGATAGAGGATCGCTAAGCCTGGAAGGTGGAGGCTGCAGTGAGTTGTGGTTGTACCACTGCATTCCAGATTGGGTGACGGAACAAGACCCTATCTCAAAAAAATTAAACATACATACATACATTTTAATATACTTAATCTACATAAAGGCTCAATGACATGAACATTCTTAAAAAAGAGAACTGTATGTATATTGTGCAGGCCTTTTCTAAATAAGTATCTGTCATATATTTTAAGGTCACATGTAGACTTATTTATAAAGAAAACTTGAAGTAGATAAAACTAAACATGTTTATCTCTTCTAAAAGATTTTTACAAAGTGGCTATAAATGTTCTTACATTATACTGCTCCAGATTTTTCTCTTTATTTGCTTCAGTGTCTTCCAAATCCTTATGTATAGCAGCAATCTGTCTTTTCTTGTCATTAATAGCCTGATCTAAAGACTTGAGTTCCTTTTTAATCCACTTATCCCTTTCTTCTTTTGATGTAAACTGGCTTCCTCGCCCCTGCTTTGCATAAAGATCCGTTCTCTCCTGGGTAGCTTGAGCCAATCTACACAAAATAGAAGAGAATGGGATGAAAGGAGAATAATAACAAAGTTTAATTGTAACCAATAATGTCAACTGTACACAGAAACATAAAGCCATTTTTCGAAACGATACAAAAAGAATTAAGTGTAAAAAAGCAGCTACTATATAATTGAGCTCCTTGGACTATCTAGTTTTATATAATATGATGCAGAAAGTTAAAGTGTTGGTGAAAGTTCTCAGACCTAGCAATTCCTCGTTCTTCTTTCTCTTTTACACTGTTGAATTTAGGTTCTGTTTCTGCCAGTTCTTTCTGTTTTTCTTCTATTTTTTCAAGCAGCTTCTGCCTCTCTTTTAATAAACGTTTCTGTAAATAAAGATAAGTAAAAATGCAAACTGCTTTAAAATTTTTGCATAATTTAGGTCTAGCACGTTTTCTCATGAAAAAAACTTCATGAGAAAACCCACCTGTAACATGAAACTTTTTAAATGTAACAAAGGGACAGTACTAAGTTGTTACTTGAGTACAAATTATGTTAACATAGCAAAGCTTAAAAAAATTCCAGGACATACCAGTCACAGAAAGGACTGTCTTCTGCAGTTCCTACTCACCTGAACATTCATGTCTTTCATTTTTAGCATTTTAACTTACCCTTTGTTCACTGTTGCCTGCTAGTTCATCTTGTAAATCCTTGGCTTTAAGCTCCAACTTAGTCCTCTGCTTAATTTGTTCTTGTCTTTCAGCACTAAGCTGTTCTTTTTCTTCTTTCATAGCTGAAATTTTTGTTTTCAATTCTCTAACTTGGCGTTCAATATCCTATTCAAAAGTATTAAACAGAAAATAAGTCAAGCAATTAGAAGTACAACAGCAGAATTGTGACACCATTAATTCTCTTTCACTTTACATTTAGTACTACTCTTCAATATTCAATTCCTCTAACTCCCCCTTGTGGTAATCATTCCATAATTCTGGTACAAAAGGGTTTACTATGGTCAAAAACTATATGATGGCTGGACATGGTTGCTCATGCCTGTAATCTCAGCACTTTGGGAGGTCCAGATGGGAGGAATCCGTGAGCCCAGGAGTTCAAAACCAGTCTGGGCAACATAGTGAGATTCCATCTCTTCAAAAAATAAAAAAATTAAGAGGCTGAGGTGGGAGGATCACTTGAGCTTGAGCGATCAAGGCTGCAGTGAGCTGTGATCTCACCACTGCACTCCCGCCTGTGCAATAGAGTGAGACCCTGTCTTTAAAAACACAAAAACAAAAAACTTCAGGAGGCTGAGGCAGAAGGATCACTTGAGCCCAGGAGTTCGTGACCAGCCTGGGTAACATGGCAAGACCTTGTCTCTACAATACATTTAAAAACTAGACAGGTATGGTGGTACACACCTGTGCTTCCAGCTATTTGAGAAGCTGAGGCAAGAGGATCGCCTGAGTCTGGTAAGTCAAGGCTACAATGAGCCATAATGGCACCATGCACTCCAGCCTGGATGACAGAACAAGACCCTGTCTCAAAAGAAAAAAGTAAGTTTACATGAACCTTGTTTAGAATCTTACCTCCATTTTATCTCTTGCATCCTGTTGAGCATCTCTTAATTGTCTGGATTTTTCTCCACTAGTCTCTCGCTTAGCAGAAAGCTAAGAAGAAAAAAAAAGTTGTATCTAACTCATTTTGTATTTACTAAATATTTCATAACATCTAATAAAAATTTTTATATGAAAATAAACCAGAAGTAACCAAATTTTTTACAAAAATTTTAAAAGTGATTTTTAACTAGAAAACTGAAGCACTACCTAAATTTTTGTACAAAATGTCAGCAATACTAATTACAAAATACATTCTAAAACTACAAGAAACCTTCAAAATGATTTTCCTCTCATCTGCCTAATAACACCATCTGATTATATTTCAGATAATACTATGTAGCAACAACCACGTGGCTATTTTCTTTAAAAGAAAAAACCTGCTGACTAATAAATTCATTGAGAGGTTAAGTTTCTATTTAAAATCACTGAAAAGTGTAATTACGGCCTGAGTTTAACAAATTCACAAAAACAAAATTAATCTGATTTTAAGTGTCAAAGGTAAATATTTTACCTCATCAAGTTTAGCACGAGTCTCATTAAGTTCCTGATTGTAAATGGTGTATTCCAGGGCTCGTCTCATTTTATCCCACTTCTGATACTGAGCTAGTTCTTCCTTTTCTTCCTCTAAAGTATGTAATCTCTCTTCAATGTATTTTAACAACTCATTGATTTTTTCCCGTTTGCCCTCTTAAAAGAAATAAGGAGAGAGAGATGGAAGAATTGAATAAAATTTTTATGTAGTATCACTTCTTCAACATACCTTGAATTAAATTCTTAAGAACTGTAGCATTATTTCTCTGATGTAATGTGGTAACCAAATTTAAAATACTAAAATAGCAATTAACCCATTTACGCTGGAGGTTGTAAATTTTTTTCTGTGAAAAATCAGACCTTGGCGATGACCTCGGGCAGTAGATATAGGTAATACCCACAAGCTTAGGATTCCAATAACGGAATGCTAGGCATAAATGGGTTAAGATCCTTTATTATGAAAGGCAACAGAGAACAAATTTATACATGGTGACACTGGTTCTTTTATAACATGTAGTAAGGGCCTCAGTTTAAGCTTCCTTTTAAAAAGTCAGTGTGCTGGCTGGGCGTGGAGGCTCATACGAGTAATCCCAGCACTTTTGAGAGGCCAAGGCAGGCAATCACCAGAAGTCAGGAGTCTGAGATCAGCCTGGACAACACGGTGAAACCCTGTCTCTACTAAAAATACAAATATTAACTGGGTGTGGTGGTGGGCACCTGTAATCCCAGCTACTTGGGGAGGCTAAGGCAGAAGAATCACTTGAACCTGGGAGACAGGTTGCAGTAAGCGGAGATCACACCACTGCACTCCAGGCTGGGTGACAGAGCAAGGCTCCATCTCAAAAAAAAAAAAAAAAAAAAAAACTCAGTGTGCCTTTCCACAATATTTTTAAAAGCTACTAACATCATTGGTGTTATAGATTCTCAATTTTTATTAATAACAGCATTATCTACTGCTGCTGTATACTAAACACCTACTATATTCCTATTATGGAGCTACTCTGTCACAAAAACAGTAATTTGTAACAAAAAAAAATAAGGCAGAAACACATTTATTTTACCTGTTTCTTTCATTAAGGAGATGCTTTCTTCCTTTCGTTCATCATATACTCTAGTACCAGCTACTTCTCTTAATAGCTTTAATCTCTGAGAATCTGGTGCTGTTGCCATCTGGTTGATCTAAAATTTTTAGAAAAATAATCATTATATAGCTATAGCCTCCGTTTAAGAACAAGAACTCCACGTTGAAAGGTTTTTAATACACATGAAGGTTGGGTATCTCTTATGCAAAAGCGTTAGAAACCACAAGTGTTACAGATTTTAAATTTTTTCAGGTTTTGGAATATTTGCATTTATACTTACCAGCTGAGCAACCCAAATCCAAAAATTTGAAATCCAAAATGTTCAAACAAGCATTTCCTTTGAATGTCACATCCACACTGAAAAGGTTTCAGACTGTGGAGCATTTTGTATTTCAGACTTTTGAATTTGTGACATGCCAAGTTTTAAATAGATTATGATTTGCCTAATGTCATTTGTATAGCACATATGCCTACATATCTATGTCTCCTTTACTTAAATTTACCAAATAAAATCCAAATACAACTGTTACGTTCATAATTCTCCTTTATGAAATATGGCTAACAAGTGAAGGAGTTATCTCACACCACCATCTTTTCCTTAGTCAATATGATAAGGTACAAAAGATGAGCTCCATTCTCAAAAACCAAAGTATTTTTATAAGGGGAAACCATCACTGACTACACTTTTTTTTAAAGCTATAATAATATATTAAAAGTACAATTCTCCCCCACTTTCCATGGGGAATTGGTTCTAGGGCCCCCTGCAGATACCAAAATCCAAGAATGCTCAAGTCCCTTATGTAAAATGGCACAGTATTTCCATAAAACCTATGCACATCCTTCCGTACACTTTAATCTCTAGACTAATTGTAACACAATATAAATGCTATGTAAACAGTTATACTGTAGTTTTAAATTTGTATTATTTCTTGAACTGTTTTAAAATTTTATTTATTTTAAATATTTTTGATCCATGGTTGGTTGAATTTGCAGATGTAGAACCCACAGATACAGAAGGCTAACAATATGACAAAATGGTATGCTTTAAATATAGAGAGAATGGTACAACTTAAGTGCCATGCAACTTAATATATAACAAGTATCCCTAAACATCAAAAATGATACCACTGCATTAAAAAATTGAAATTATCTCTAAGAAAATATGGTCTATCAAAAGTATCTACATCAAAGAATCATCCTTCAGATCCTCATTATTGCACGCTCCAATTATACATATTTGTTCAAGCAATTTACTCACTTAAAAATTATTTATCAAATGACTACAACATATGTGCCACTGCTGGGCACTGGAAAAGAGCAAACAAAGCAGAAAAGGTCCCGCCCTCATGGAGCTTACATTCTAGTGGAAAAAGACAGAAAATAAGTATTAACAGTATAAGTGTTACAAAGAAAAATAAAACAGATTAAGGAAATAAAGCACATAGGGTTGAGGGGAAGGCAATGCTTTTAGATGAGGCAATCAAGGATGGCACAGGGGCAGAAACTGAAATGAAGTAAAAGGGCCTACATTGAGAGCAGAGGGATCTCAGAAAAGTGCTCTTTCAAATCAGCCTCCATTTAAAAAAATGCCTCTCCCACAAATAGTAAAATCGGAAAAAAAAACTTGTTCTTCCAGTACCACATTTTCTAAAACTGAAACTCCATATTCTTCCTAATCACTTCTTCTGAATGCTAACTTTCCAATACATACCAAAAAAAAAAAAAAAACAACCTACAGTATAAAATAAGTGAATATTCTG